GCTTGCCTTTTGCATGGCAAAGGGGAGGCTGATGGAAGAATTGTATTCTGAGCATTCCTGAACCTGAATACTTCCTTAATAAACCCCATAATTATATTATCTTTGAGTTGTGTGTGGCCATTGCAACGAATTATTGAATCCAGCAGAGAAATAGTGAGTGCTGTGGGAGGGACAGTTGGTGTCAGAATTGGCAGAAAGGTTGGAAGGTGGTGGCATGTCTGGTCTCATAATAAGAATCAGCCTTGGGCTGCTGATGGTGATTCTCTCTCCCAATTGTGAAGTTAGAGGAGGTCAGAAGATGCTGCCTCCATGTCCTTTCTGCATGTATGTATGCGTTTTAAAGTCTTCCTCTTTAAACACCCTAACAAACATATGCTTGATGGCCTAAGTTTTGAATATCATGATAGAAATGGTTAGCATGAATGTCATCTCAGCCACAGAAAAATTAGGAACCTCTCTAGATGTTTCTAGCATATAGATATCTGAATATACCAGGTTCTGTGCTAAGAGAAACCACTCATCTGGCGTTGTGTTGTACTGTGGTGGCTTGAATGTTGCTGTGATGCTGGAAGCTATGCCACTCTTATTTCAAATACCAGTAGGGTCACCCATGGAGGATAGGTTTCAGTGGAGCTTACAGGCTAAGACAGACTAGGAAGAAGGACCTAGGGATCTCCTTCTTAAAAGACTGGCCTCTGAAAACCTTATGAAAAGCAGTGAAACACATTGTCTGATATAGTGCCAGAAGATGAGCCACTCAGGTTGGAAGGTACTGAAAATACGACTGGGAAAGAGCTGCTTCCTGAAAGTAGAGTTGACTTTAATGATGTGGATGGAGTAAAGCTTTTGGGATCTTCATTTGCGGATGTGGCATGACTCCAAATGAGAAGAAACAGCTGCAAGCATGCATTAATAATTGAAACGTGGAATGTACAAAGTATGAATCTAGGAAAATTGGAAGTTGTAAAAAATAATGAAATAGAACATACAAAGATCAATATCCTAGGTGTTAGTGAGCTGAAATTGATATGTATTGACCATTTTGAATTGGACTGTCATGTGGTCTACTTTGCATGGATTGAAATATTGAAGAGGAATGGCATATTCGTCGTCACAAAGAATATTTCAAGATCTATCCTAAGTTCTGGTCTATCAGTGATAGGATAATATCCATATACCTATTAAAAAGACCAGTTAATAAAGCTATTATTAAATTTTATGCACCAACCACTAATGCCAAAGAAGAAGAAATAGAGGATTTTTACCAACTTATGCAGTCTGAAATTGATCAAATAATCAATCAAGTGATACTGATTATTACTGGTGATTGGAATGCAAAAAAGTTGGAAATGAAGAAGGAGAGGCAGTTGGAAAATATGGCCTTAGTGATAGAAATGATGCCAGACATGTCATGGTAGATTTTGCAAAACCAAATTCTTATTCAATTCAGATACCTTTTATAAAGCAACATAAATGGTGACAGCTATACACATAGACCTTGCCTGATGGAATATATAGGAATCAAGTCAACTACATCTGTTGATTGAGATGATGGAGAAACTCAATATTATCAGTTAGAATAAGACCAGAGGCTGAATGTGGAACAGACCATTAAATGCTCATATGCAAGCTCAAGTTGAAGCTGAGGAAAATTAAAACAAGTCTGTAAGACCCAAAGTTTGACCTTGAGTATATCCCACCTGAATTTGGAGACTGTCTCAAGAATAGATTTGATGCATTGAAGACCAGACTTTAAGGACATTATACAAGAAGAAAGTAAAAGATGATAAAAAGACAAGAAAGAAAGGAAAGATTAGATTGGATGTCAGAAGAGACTGTGACGTTTGCTACTGAACATAGAGTTGCTAAAGCGAATGGAAGAAATGATGAAGTAAATGAGCTGAACAGATTTCAAAGGGTGGCTTGAGAAGTAAAATATTAGTATGAAATGTGCAAAGACCTGGAATTAGAAAACCAAAAGGGAAGAACATACATGGCATTTGCCAAGCTCAAAGAACTGAAGAAAACATTCAAGCCTTGAGTTGCAGTACTGAAGGGTTCTATGGGAAAAATATTGAACCATTCAGAAAGCATCAAAAAATGGTGTAAAGAATACACAGAGTTACTGTACCAAAAGAAATTGGGTGGTGTTTAACCATTTCAGGAAGTAGCAAGTAATCAAGAACCAATGGTATTGAAGGAAGAAGTCTAAGCTGCACTGAAGGAATTGGTGAAAACCAAGGCTGCAGGGATTGACAGAATACCCATTGAGATGTTTCAACAAATAGATGAAGCACTGAAGGTGCCACTTGTTTATGCCAAGAAATGTGGAAGACATTATTTAGCCAACTAAGTAGAAGAGATCCATATTTGCACCCATTCCAAAGAAAGTTGATCCAACAGAAAGTGGCAGTTATCAAACAATATCATTAATATCACTCAAAAGTAAAATTTTCCTGAAGATAATTAAAAAATCATTACAGCAGTATATCAACAAGGAACTGCCAGAAATTCAAGCTGGGCTCAGAAGAGGGCATGAAACGAGGGATATCATTGCTAATATCAGATGGATCTTGGCTGAAAGCACAGGATACCAGAAAGATGTTTACCTTGTTTTATTGACTACGCAAAGACATTTGACTGCTTGGATCATAACAAATTACGGATAACATTGCAAGGAATGTGAATTCCAGAACACTTAATTGTGCTCATGAGGAACCTGAACATAGACCAAGAGGCAGTCATTCAAACAGAACAAGGTGGTACTCCTTGGTTAAAAATCAGGAAAAGTGTGTGTCAGGGTTGTATCCTTTCACCATACTTACTCAATCTGTATGCTGAGCAAATAATCAGAGAAGCTGGACTATATGAAGAAGAATGTGGCATTAGGATTGGTGGGAGACTCGTTAACAACCTGCAATATGAAGAGGACACAATCTTGCTGAAAGTGAAGAGGACTTGACGTACTTACTGATGAAGATCAAAGACTGCAGCCTTCAGTACTGATTAAAAGCTCAACATTGTTGTTGTTGTTATATGCCATCGAGTCGGACCCACATAAAGAAAGCAAAAATCCTCACACTTGGACCAATAAGCAAAAATGTGATCAATGGAGAAAAGATTTAAGTTGTTAAAGATTTCATTTTACTTGGATCCACAATCGAGGCTCATGAAAGCAACAGTCCACAAATCAAACTACGTATTGCATTGGGGAAGTCTACTGCAATAAAAACCTCTTTAAAGTGTTGAAAAGCAATGATGTTACTTTGAGGATTAAGGTGTGCCTGACCCAAAGCATGGCATTTTCAATAGCCTCATAGGCATATGAAAGCTGGACAATGAATAAGGAAAACTAAAAGGTAATTGATACCACTGAATTACGATGTTGGTGAGGAATATTAAATATACCACTGAGTGCCAGCAGAACAAACAAACTTTGAAGAAGTATAGCCAGAATTTTCTTTAGAGCTAAGGACAGTTAGATTTTGTCTCACGTACTTTGGACATGTTATCAGGAGGGACCAGTTGCTGGAGAAGGTAGGTAAAGCAGAGGATCAGTGAAACAGGGAAAGACCCTCAACGAGATGAATTGACAAGGTGGCTGTAGCAGTGGGTTCAAGCGTAGCAACGATTGTGAGGATGGTGCAGGGACAGGCAGCGTTTCCTTTTCAGGGTCACTATGAGCTGGAACTGACTGCACAGCACTTAACGACAACAATGGTAAGGAGCCCTGATGGCACATTGGTTAAAGTGCTCGGCTGCTAACTGAAAGGTTGGCAGTTCAAACCTATCAGCCACTCTAGGGGAGAAAGATATGGCAATCTGCTTCCATAAAGATTACAGATGGTGTTTCACAACTCATGGAGTGGCCATAAGTTGAGGGCCAACTCTATAATGGCTAACACCAACAACATGCTAAGTGCTTTCATGGACCCTGTCTGATAAAGGTGCAGTTCATATCTCCGGTTTATAGATGAGGACAGCTGAAGAGTAAAATGGTAGGTGGCTGAGTAGAAATTTGAATTGAGGTCTAAGCCTGAATTTTCATTCACTCTTCCTTACTGTCCCAAGATGTGACATTTAATATTAGCTAAGGTCTTGATTACCTACTGGATTTTTTATTTTCAGCACTCGAACTGCAATGCACAATTACCTATACTTTTTATGTATTGTATTCTTTCTTTTTTTTTGCCTGTGTTTTTAAACATCTATTTGATGCAATATTTTAAATTAATTATTGGTACTCTAACAGCTCTTAGACTTCCATACAGTACTTTAAATATAGTGTGACGTTTTTAAAATAAACAATTAGCCCCTGGGAGCCAAGCATCATTCTCTTTCTTGTGGGCTGAGCTTCGGTGTTGTGACAGGGTAGTCACTAATGAAATAGACATAGAAAGAACCTTTTTTGAAGATTTAAGAGGTCATATATTCTGTGTAATTGTTATTTTGCTAGTTAACTTCATCTCATTTGTGTACCTGCTACATAGTTTTAATTATGTTCAATTATTCCATGTTTTGTAAATTACATTAAGTCTTTTATTTCCTCTTAATGTCCAAAGCATTTTGTTAGAATGTATGTGTGGTCTAGTTTTTAAGCACATCAAAGTAATTCTTTGGGAGAACTTCCCTTGATAACCTAGAACATTAAGAATTTTCACTGTCTATGCACTTCTATGAAAGGAGCTCTGGCAGTGCAGTGCTAAGGCATTTGACTGCTAATCAGAAGGTTGGTGGTTCAAACCCACCAACTGCTCCACAGAAGGACGATGGGGCAATTTACTTCAGTAAAGATTTACCGCTTGGGAACCCAATGAGGATCGCTATGAGTCGGAATCAGCTCGATGGCAGTGAGCCTGGTTTTTGAGTATGTACGTTTGTTTGCATCTTTTAAAGGAAAAGAAGGTTAATAATTATTGTGTATCCAACCACCCTGAATTCTCAACTGCTTTATAGAAAGTGTGAGTATATAAACCAGACTTTTTTCCATCTATTTTCAGGAATTGCAACATATTGTTGGATCACAGCACCTCAAAGCAGAGAAAGGTAAGTGTGAATCTGTGAATATTGGAAATCCCCTAGGGTCACTCTCTGAGCTAATCTGGTTTCTCTCCTCCCCAGCTATGGTAGAAGGCTCATGGTTAGACGTGGCCAGGAGGGGCAAGCCTGACACTCAACCTTTTGCTCATCTCACTATTAATGCCACTGATATCCCATCAGGTAAGTTTCATCTGCATACAGCCTGAAAAAAATATTTCAAGAGTCATTTATCAGCCCATCTGAATATACAAACATATTAGCTTGTGAGATGATAACTTTGTGGGTGAGAATTAGCATAAAGTAGATTGCCGTAAGGTAGAGATCGAGTATATCCCTATGTTCCCATTTTTCCATATCTGACACCAGCCACCCACATGGCACTCTGTCCCTCTCTATTTCTCTGTGTCTCTGTTTCTGCCCCTCACCACCTGGAGCTAAGCCAGAGGTCGTAAGATAAGAGGACACCATTCTTGGGTTCATTAATTCTCAGAAACAACTCACAGAACTTGCAGAAGATGCGTGGGCAAGGTGGAGCTCAGAGAGGGTACCTTACCCTCCTTTCCCTGCCCATGGGGCTCCCTGAGCCATAGGGCTTCAGGGCTTTCATTGGCCGGTCCTGCATGATAAGCCCAATCATACTTTGTCAGGATAGCCTCCCAGGTGAGTCTTTTCTGGTCTGGTCAGCCCCCACTCAACATGAATGCTCCAGTGTGACCTGGAAATTCCAGACTTAAGCATCCTAATTACTCCAAGGGTTGTTTCACTTGTAAACCAAGGACAAAGCCACCTTACTTTGGGTAAAGGTAACTCCTTTACCTCACACTCTTTTTAAAATATTTGAGAGCCCTTAACTTTCCAACTAAAAGAAAGATCATTTAATTTACAACTGATGATCCACACTCAAGTTGACATCCTGGAAACTGATTCTCAGTCATCTCAGAATGGACGTCATTATTACATTCATTTTCAGATCATTGTAGTGGATGTTTCCTTTAAATGATTGCTGGCTGAGTGTGCATACTAGGAAGGGTGATCCCTTGTTATCCCATCTGTACTTATCCAAGCTAAAGCTGATACACCCCTTTGCATGTTTACTCAGCCAGCCCTGTGGAGTTCCAAGGGCTCAACAAAGTAACCTGTAAGAAGCTGTAGCTCCAGAAAATAAGACACCCTCTCCCTTCTCCATGTGCCATTGTTTTCTGTGGGTAAGAGTTCTATCTCGGTGTTCTGGAGGTCTGATTATCTTTTAAGGATAAGAAGATCCAGAACTCAATGCCTATATCTCTTACTTTAATGCACCAGCTTTTTCATCATATGATCCCCAATGATTATTTCACCTGGGAATAGGTAAGTGTCACAAAGATTATAAAGAACATTATAATAGAATAATAATTTACCATCACCACTATTATTTGGTAGCATAGTGCCTAAGGCACTTGACTGCTAACCAGAAGGCTGGCGGTTCAAACCCACCAGCCACTCCTCGGAAGGAAGGTTGGGCAATCCTACTTCCGTAATGATACTGCCTCGGAAACCCAAGGAGGGGTCGCTATGAGTCGGGGCCGACTCGACGGCAAATAACAACAACAACAACAACTATTATTTTGCAATTTCTTGAACGCCTACTATGTATTGGGTGTTTTGCTGTGTTCATTATCTCTAATTTTTACTAAAACCAAACCAAACCAGTTGCCACTGAGTCAATTGTAACTCATGGGAAGCCCATGTGTGTCAGAATAGAACTGTACTCCATAGGGCTGTCAATGCTTGTGATCTTTTGGAATAGATTGCCAGGTCTTTCTTCCTCTAATCCTTACTACCCACTCATTGCTGTCGAGTCAATTCCAACCCATAGTGACACTGTGGGACAGAGTAGAACTGCCCCCATAAGGTTTCCAAGGTCATAAATCTTTATGGAAGCAGGCTGCCGCATCTTACTTCCGTGGAGTGGCTGGTGGGTTTGAACTGTTAACCTTCCAGTTAGCCCCTGAGTGCTGAAGCATTGTGCCACCAAGGCTCCTTAATGCTTACTTAAATTAACCAAACCAAACGCACTGCCACTGAGTTTATTCCCACTCGTAGTCACCCTTTAGGATGGAGTAGAAATGGCCTATATGGTTTCCAAGTCTGTAAATCTTTATGGAATCAGACTGTCTCATCTTTCTCCTGCAAAGTGGTTGGTGGGTTTGAACTGCAGACCTTTTCGTTATCAGCCAAATACTTTAACCGCCACATCACCAAAGCTCCTTACTGCACACTTGTAAATTAGAGATTCTCATTCAGATTTTGCAGACAGGGAAACCAAGGTTCACAAAGGCTAAGTCATGTGCCAAGGTTACAATGGTGGCCGAGTTAGAAGTTGAATGCCAATCAAGTTGATGTAAAGCCCATGCTTCATATACTGCACTTCATTATATCAGCAGGCCACCGGGTACTTGTGATCACTTGGCTTTGTCAGAGAGAAATCGTCACATTCAAAGCTCTCATATTTCTCTTTTCCTCTAAGAAGTAGATTTCTGTAGTGTTTAATAGCAAGGAATTATTTTCTAAAAGGAGAGAAATATATTCAAATACACATAGTGCTTTCTGCTAAGCACTTAGAGAGTTGAATAATGTAAAATCCAACTCTCTGTGTTTGGGGCCCCACCCTACTACTTAACTCGTGTGTCATCTTTTGCAGATTATTGGAATCAGTTGTGCCTCTGCTTCATCTTGTATAAAATGGGGATCATGATAGTGTCCATGTCATATGGTAGCTATGAGGATAAAATTAGTTCATGTACTCGTGTACTTATATGGAAGCTGGCATTGGGTAAGCACCCAGGGAATGTGATTTGCTGGTAGCGTAGTGCCTAAGGCATTTGATTGCTAACCAGAAGGCTGCCAGTTCAAACCCACTAGCCACTCCTCAGAAGGAAGGTTGGGCAATCTACTTCTGTAGTAATACCGCCTCAGAAACCCAAGGTGGGGTCGCTATGAGTCGGATCTGACTTGATGGCAGTGAGTTTGGTTTTTTTTGGTTTTGGTTATCATTTGAGTTTAGTTAAGTAATGATACACAAACTGCTTTGTTCTGAAAATGATTTAAGGCAAGCTTTTCTTGAATTTAAAAAAAAATATATGTTCCAAGCTTCAATACATTGTTTTGAAGCCATTGCCATAGCATCAAACTAAAAAACAAACAAACATGTTGCCGTATAGTTGTTTCCGACTCATGGCAACCCCATGTGTTACAGAGTAGAACTGCTCCGTAAGAATTTCTTGGCTTTAATCTTTACAGAAGTAGATTGCCAGGGTTTCTTCTGCATCACCACTGGGTAGGTTCGAACCACCAACCTTTAGATTGGCAGCCAACTGCAAACCATCTGTACCACCCAGCCCTTCACAATAGCATGGGTAGAGATAATTGCTAATTGAGGACAGAGAACATGAGAAACCAGCTCTTTGGCTTTTAGGAGATTTTCCTAAACTATCAATCCTGTGCCAGATACTTGCTTTATAAACAAATTATGTATGAACCTGAACTTTATGGTAACACTACATAATTTTCTCAGAGTGGGAAACTATTTTGCATGTGAGCAAAGGTAATCAAATTAATACTGATGCATCAGCTGTGTGTGGTATGAACGTACTGTACATTTACCTTTTCAGTTTCCTTTAAATGGGATATGATAAATATTGCATTAGACTGTGTGCCAAAGTCTGTTTGGCAATAGCAAGCATGTTTTACTTATAAAGCTCTCTCTGCAGGCACCTAGCATTCAAATCATTGCCAAAAAAGAGGCAAAATTCCTGGTTATTTTTCTGGGGTTATTGAGTTTGTGACTGACTGAGATGAGTTAGTGGATGCTGCTGTTTAAGAAAATAGAATTTGTGACTCTGGCTGGGCCAATAACCCCCAAGTCCATTTATCTCCAACTTTTGGTCAGTTTGAGATCCTTTAGGGGGAAAGACAGCTTTAATTTTGAGTGTTCATTTTGGAGCTCTGTTTTACACTTTATTTACACATATGAAATCAGTATCTGCCCTTATATTGACTATTAGCTTGTGCATTTTCACAGCTTCTTGAATCCAGTGCATTAGGAAGTATTTTGGGGGACCAGAATACATGGCTTCCGTTAGGGGCATTTTTAATCTAACTATTTGCAGAGGCTTCTCCAAAAGGAGTCCCTGGGTGGCACAAACAGTTAAGAACTTGCCTATTAGCAGAAAGATGGCATTTCAGACCCACTCAGAGACCCCTTGGAACACAGACGTGGCAGTCTGCTGTCAAAAGGTCACATTAGTGCTAGAAATCCAGGTTTGCCACGTGAGGCCCTTCAACCTGAGCCCAGCTTACTTTTCTCACCTTTCTCTCTCATTATGCCTCTTTATGCTGAGGCACTGGTAGTTCAATGCAGGAGATCTGGGTTTGATTCCTGGCCAATGCACTTCGTGTGCAGCCACCACCCATTTATCAGTCTAGACTAAGAGAGAGTAGGAAGAAAAGCCTGGTGATCTATTTCTGAACACCAGCCAAGGGAAAGCCCATGGATCACAATGGTCCGATCCACCCCTGATCACGGGGATGGGACAGGACTGGGGAGAGTTTCATTCCATTGTGCGTGGGATTGCCATGAGTCAGGGGCTGACTTGACATCAGCTAGCAATGACAACAGCTCTCTAAGTGCTTAGCAGAAAGTACTAAGTATATTTGAATGTATTTCTTTCCTTTTAGAAAATAATTCCTGAGAAGTTATTCTGCCAGTGGAATAATGGAATAATGATTTTTCTATACCCTCATTGAATCATGAGGACATCCTCCTCACACAAGGGCTGATTCTAATGCATCTCCTCTCTCCCCAGGTTCTCACAAAGTGAGTCTTTCCTCTTGGTACCATGACCGAGGCTGGGCAAAGATCTCCAACATGACTTTCAGCAATGGGAAACTAATTGTCAACCAAGATGGCTTTTATTACCTGTACGCCAACATTTGCTTCCGACATCATGAAACGTCAGGAGACCTAGCCACGGAGTATCTTCAGCTGATGGTCTATGTCACTAAAACCAGCATCAAAATCCCAAGTTCTCATACCCTGATGAAAGGAGGAAGCACCAAATACTGGTCTGGAAATTCAGAATTCCACTTTTATTCCATAAACGTTGGAGGATTTTTTAAGTTACGATCTGGTGAAGAAATAAGCATACAGGTGTCCAATCCTTCACTACTAGATCCCGATCAAGATGCAACTTACTTTGGGGCTTTTAAAGTTCGAGATATAGATTGAAGCCCATTTTGTGGAATGTTATCATGTATTTTCTAGGATGTGTGTAAACTTAAAATAGAAAAAAAAAAAAAAAGAAAAAAAGCAGAGAAAGATGTATATAGGTGTATGAGACTACTAAGAGGCATGACCACAATGGTACAATAAGACACTCTGTCCATGCTCTTGACCTTGTAGAGTGCATGCGTATTTCCAGCCAACAAGAGACATGTGGTGTGGACTGTAGGTGCATTACAATCTAAAGACTTTCTAACACATGGTTTTAAAATTTTGTAATGAATTCCTAGAATTAAACCTGATTGGATCAATCATGGTTGGCCTAATGAAAATATGCATTTGGGCTCCTGGAGTGCAGGGTGTTAATTGTGTACATCTAGCCCCTGGCTAGGGGTCCCTGGGTAGTACAAGCAGTTGAGCCCTCAACTGCTAGCTGAAAGGTTAGTGGTTCAGACCTACCCAGAGGGGCCTTGAGAAACAGTCCTGATGATTTGCTTCTGAAAGGTCACAGCCTTATAATCCCCATGGAGCAGTTCAACTCTGCACACGTGGGGTTGCCATAGTCAAAATCAACTGGATGGCAACAAATAACAACCACAACAACAGCCCCTGGTTATGTGCCTCTAGGCAGTTGAAGTGGAGAAGGTGTCATCTGAATTGCAAAGGGACGATCATCTGAAGGGTTTAGTTCTTTTGAATTGTTACAACATGCTGGAACCTGCAAATACTTTTTCTAAGGAGGAGAGAAAATATATGTATTTTTTATATAATATCTAAAGTTATATTTCAGATGTAATGTTTTCTGTGCAAAGTATTATAAATTATATTTGTGCTATAGTATTTGATTTGAAATATTTAAAATGTCTTGCTGTTGACATATTTAATGTTTTAAATGTACAGACATATTTAACTGGTGCACTTTGTATGTCCCCTGGGAAAACTTGCAGCTAAGGGGGAAAATATTGTTTGCAAATATCAAATGTATTCTGTTTCTTCATTCGTTTTAACCTAATAGAGTCTTCAGACTTGTCAAGTCTATGCAGAAAAATGTAAATGAATGCCTTGAATAATAAGCAAGATGCTGGCCACCAGGTGCCTTTCAAATTTAGAAGCTAATTGACTTTAGAAAGCTGACATTGCCAAAAAGGATACATAATGGGCTGCTGAAATCTGTCAAGAGTATTTATATAATTATTGGACAGGTGTGTTTTCTACAAGTGCTGCAAACTGTAAATTTTGTGTTATTTTTAATGGAAAGTGGCTTATAAGCAAAAAAAAAAATCCCATTTTTAACTTAGTGGATATTATTTTATACTGTACAATAAAAACATTGCCTTTGAATGTTAATTTTTTGGTACAAAAATAAATTTATATGAAAACTTGCCTTATGATTTTGTTCTTTTCCATCTGCCTTGCTCTGTGAGCCCACTGTCGTCTCCACTATGGTAATGTGTCTTCTAGCTCTTTCCAGAGGTTACTGGGAGAAATGCAGATTTAATTAAAATTTAGGAACAGATTCAATTAAATTAATGAACCTTGGAATTTGAAAAATAATTTGCAAGGGATTTGTGTGCAAGAACACAGCTAGATAGAAAATAGAGGCTTCTCTCAAAATGTAAAAGTAGGTGTATGTTTATATCTTGAGAAAGTATGTTACTTTGTTCAAATTCGTAATGCCTCCGAGAACAACTGTTGGTGCTTGGTGACCTGGAGGACCACCTGAAACTTTGTGTTTTACCAAGGTGAAGGAGGATTAATAGTGGTCTGGACACTTTTGCTCATGGAATTTGATGTGGAGGAAGCTGTCCGACCCAGATTGGCTATTCACATGAGAGAGATGTAGGAAAACCAGCAGCTTGGGAGAGAGCAGTCAGCCATCATTTAAGGCAGTTGCCATGTGTGGATTAATGTTTTCTGATGGTTGTGACAGACAGAAAGAGAAAAGAAATAGTAAATGTTAGAATGAAGAATTTTAAACAGCAGAGCTAGGCTTGTGAGACTCAATCATTGACTAAAATACAGCTATTGCTTTAAAATTAACAGTTAGTCTGAGGGAGAGTGGTATAAAATATGTCTTAAGTGTTGTATATTCCAATTGCTGATGCCTGGTTGAAAGAAAAACTCACTGTGATAAGTAAATGGAGGATTTCTTCATTGACACACAAGTTTGCTATAGAGAGTGAGCTTCACTAGCTATCCCAACTTCTGTGATAGGACTCTGTCATTTCTAAAGGTGAATAGCATTTGATTGTTGCACATTGTTTATTGAGTTCCAACCATGTGTCAGGTACTGTACCTGGCATTGGCCATCTATGACACAATCTCTGTCCTCAAGATTCCATTCTAGTGGAGGAGACAGCCTTGTAAGAGTATAGTGAGTTCCAGGATACTGTGTCCTATGGAAGCAGAGAGGAGGCTCTCTAACCCAGTCTTTGGCAGTGGGGGGAGGGGGGGCACAGGTGGCCTGAAAAGGAAATCAGGGATAGAGTGGAAAAGTGGAATAAAAACCTCCAAAGTTGGATATAGATATCCGTGATCACTTTTCACAAAGAGACTACTGGTGAGTCTCAATGATGAGCCAAGACCTAATGTCTAGAAATGGAAAGAACTCAGGTTCTAGTGAGACAATATATACTTGCACCAGCCACCACCAACTAGCATGGCAGACAGTCTGCAATGCCAAGGATAGCCTCTGTTAAAGACCTTGCTAACGCAGCATGACTATAATGTGAATGTTACCTAAGTTGACACCCAGATCCATCAGGGCTTTTCAGAGGTTTGCTGCAATGAATCTATGACCGAATGAAATATTGATGTGATCTGGCCTGTGTCTTGAAGGAGGTTAGTGTAGCATGGGAGTGTGCCAGGCGATCTGAAACAGGCCTTTTCTATTCTCCAGTGAGGGCAATTGTGGTTCAGTGGTAGAATTCTTTTCCTCCATGTGGGGCACCGCGAAGGAACTGTTTCAAGTGCTGAGGAGCAAGGATGTCTCCTTGGGGACTAAGATGCGCCTGACACAAGCCATGATATTTCCAATCACCTCGTGTGCATGTGAGAGCTGGACAATGAATAAGGAAGACTGAAGAAGAGTTGATGCTTTTGAGTTGTGGTGCTGGCGAAGAATGCTGAAAGTACCATGGACTGCTAAAAGAACTAACAGATCTGTCCTGGAGGATGTGCAGCCGGAATGCTCCTTGGAAGCGAGAATGGCCAGACTTCGTCTCACCTATTTTGGTCATGTTGTCAGAAGGGACCATTCCCTGAAGAAGGATGTCATGCTTGGTAGGGTGGAGGGTCGATGAAAGAGGGGGAAGCCTTCAACAAGATGGATTGACACAGTGGCTGTGATGATAGGCTCAAGTATAGCAGGGATCGTGGAGCTGGCGCGGGATCGGGCAGTGTTTTGTTCTGCTGTGCGTGGGGTCACTCTAAGTCAGAAATGACTCGATGGCACCTAACAACAAATAACAACACAACATGTGGGGCATTAGGATTTGATTCTGGGCCAATACATCTCATATGTAGCCATGCCCTGTCTGTCAGTGGAGATTTGTGTGTTACTGTGATGCTGAACAGGTGTCAGCAGAGCTTCCAGACTAAATCAGAATAGGGAGAAACAGCTGGCATCTACTTGTAAAAATCAGCCAATGAAAACCTTATGGGACACAATGGTCTGATCTGCAACCAATCACAGGGATGGTGGAGGATGAGGCAGCATTTCATTACTCATAGAGTTGCCATGAGTTGGGAGCTGACTCTATGGCAGCTAACAACAGTGATGATCAAGGCTTGGCAGGATCTATATGGTAGGAAAAAAAGCAAGATACAACTCTTTACTTTTCCACTCACATCCTACTTTTTAGCCTGGCGTTTTCTTCTCACATATCCTTTCTTTCCACATCTACTCTTTTATATGTATTTCAATCCTTCCCCCCTTTCTTTCCTTTTCCCCTTTACTCCTTGGCTCATACCTCAGAGAGCCACTAAGACTCTCTGGTGGCCCTTGGGGAATAAGGAGGCTGCTTCATCTGATCCAAATGGAACTATATCTTGCCAATCGTCAGTAGTAGCTGGGCAAATGTGTTTAAGTGTGAAATGATCATGTCAGGAAACCAACACACACACCTTGGCAAATTGAATTGTTTGCTTATTTTAACTAATATATTTCAATATTCTTCCTGTTGTGTTGCTGGGTGCTGTTGAATTGATTTTGACTCATAGTGACCACATGGGATGGGGTAGAACTGCCTCATAGAGTTTTCTAGCTGTAATCTATACGAGCAGATCTCCAGGTCTTTCTTCCATGGAGCCTCTGGGTGGGCTTGGACTGCCAACTTTTCAGTTAGGAGTCAAGCACTTAACCATGGCACTTGCTGCCAGTGCACCAATCTTCCTCACACTTGCTAAGTCTAAAGAGAGGAAAATATGCCAAATTGGAAGTCATCTGCCTTCTGGAATCAACTTGTACAACTACACCAGACTCACACACCTTTTAAAAATTTTTAAACTGAGGTAAATATATAATTAACAAAATATTTGCTATTTCAACATTTTTTTACATGCACAATTCAGCGACATTAGTTATGTTCATCATATTGTACAGCCAACACCACCCTCTGTTCCCATCACCCTTAGCAGAAGCTCAGTACACATAAGCAATGCACCTTTGCATCTTGCGAAGACCCTACATGTGCAGCAAATCTTGAGGTTGCTTTCTCCATTTACTTCAATTGCCTTTTCTTTCTGTCTCACTGATCTCCATTATGCCTTCCAAGAGAACTGTCCAGAGAAGATGACCTCCAAGGACTTTGGAAGGAACCCAAGCATTTTTCTCTCTGTGCCTAAATTATTGACATGGCTTAGATAGTGGCATTGGGTTAGACTTGCATATTTTGGGGTCACATCTTTGACTCCACCTGCAGTTCCACATTTCACCTCTGGAGTCATGCAGGGCATGCCAAGCCTGGGCTCCCTTCACTTGGCTTTGTTCATTGATTCTCTACCTGCCTTGCTATGAAATTGAAATATGGTTCTCGGTAGCTACATTCACAAATGCTAATTAGTTATTGATTCATGTTAGTATGATTTAGTTTTGTGTCACTTTTTACAATAAAAAAATGTGTCCATAGTGAGTGTTAG